CCTCCCCCTCCTCCCCCTCCTCTCCCTCCTCTCCCTCCTCTTCCCCTCTTCCCCTTCAACCCCCTCCCCCTTTTCTTGAGACTGGAACTCTCCTGATCCTGTTGACTCAGCCTTCTGACTCAGCCTCCCGGGTGCTGGAATGACAGGCATGAACCACCATGCCCATCTCAAGTTTTGTCTTCAGGAGGCTCTCAGAATCAATCCCAGGCCTGCTGCAAGCTTTGGGCAGTTGCTGGCTATCTTGGGTATCCTTGGCATATAGATCCTTCCTTTCGGTCTCTGCCTCAGGTCATGTGGCTACCTCCTCCTTTGTCTGTCTTATAAGGGGCACCATGTCCTGCATGCAGGGCCCTCTGGATAAGCCAGGGTGATACCTCAAGATCCTTACCTTTGTCACATCTTCAAAGACCTTTTCACCTAATAAGGTCACATTTACAAGTCCTAGGGGTCAGGATCTGCACAGAGAGTTCCAGTCAGCATGGATCACCCTCAGTTTCCAACTGGGGCAGGCACAGCAGCCTCCCTGCCCTGCATCTCTGCCGGAGAGACCTGGCCCAAGGGTGATGGTCACTGGGCTACAGGCATGGAGACACTGTCTCCAGGTGGATGCTGCCACTCAGGCCGGTGGATGGGGCAGGAGAGGCAGGCATGTCACCAGAGGACAGACTGTGGGGCACTGTTCCCTGGGTAATGGCCCTGGCTATGGTGGGGGCTTCCTGCTTTGCAGGAGGGTGCACAGAGGGCTGTGGGAGCCCTCCCCAGTGAGCACTCTTCTGAAAGGGTCACATGGGTGCAACAAGTGGGGCTGGATCAGGGCTGGACCTAGGCCCGTCCTGCTGCCTCCAGTGGCGCCCTGCGTCAGCGTTCTACCACTGGCCCCTGCGGCCTGTTCTGGTGCTGCTTAGACCAGGAAGTTCCCATGAGGGGAACGGCCTCTTCGCCTTAGCAGTTGTGGTCCCTGCTCCATCCTGCTGCCCAGTACCCATGAGAACTCCAGATGGCCAGTGAGCCTGGTGTGAGCGGATGGAGATTGTAGGTGCTCATGGGAGCGGAAGTGGTGTCAGTATGGCAAGATGTACAGCCCTGGGTGTGGTGCCCTGCCAGCAAGGTGTGGCCACAGCCCTGTGATGTTGCCCCACTGAGGGAAATGGGTGGTGAGATGGGGCCAGCACTTGTGAGCATCTTAAGACGGTTGGGTGCTAGCAGCAACTTCTGCCTCGGAGAGACTCACGCTCCATCCTCTAACCACCAAAGGCTCTCGTGAAATTGGAGGCCACAGATCTGATGATATAGGGCCACACAGCCAGACTTTTGAGCGTGTCACATACAACATGCTCTGGAGTTAGTGTGAAAAGGCCCAGACATGAAATTCATTGTAAAGTGTGAAATAAAGTAAATGCTGCAAGTGTGCACCTGGGTATCAATTGGGTGGATGTGGTGAGATGGCCAGTAGTGAAAATTTCCTTATGTGTTTGTACATTTTCTCCATGCACAGTTGTGTGTATTACTTTGATCCAAAGTTGGCTTTATGTTAGTGCAGCTCTGAGATTTTCTGTGTGCTAGTGACCAAGGAGAGCTCACTGGTGATATAACTGTTAATGGGGCAAGGGCTTGGTGTGGTGGTGCCAGGCTTTCATCCCAGCACTCAGGAGGCTGAGGCAGGAGGATTGCTGTGAGTTTGAGGCCAGCCTGGGCTACATAGTTCAAGGCCATCCTAGACTACATATTGTGATCCTGTCCCCAACAACAAAAACAAAAAAGTAAGATATGGAAATCCCGAGGTCACTTCCCACCATGACTAAGAATGGAACTGCTGACAGAGGAGGTAAGGTGCAAAGTGCAAGCTAATTTATTTAAAAGATACAAAGACAAGGAAGTAAAAGATACAAAGGCGAGGAAGCAGTTCTTGATGGCTGGGGGGGGCTCTGTGTCCAGGGGTATTAGGGGTTTAGAAGGGAGTGTGGGCCTTTGTGTAAGCTCTGTGATCTGTAATGAGGTGGGACAGAAGAAATAAGGTAGAGACACATCATCACTATTTAAATTGTGCTTCTGGAAGTTGGGGGTGGTGGCGCACACCTGTAATCCCAGCACTTGGGAGGCTGAGGCAGGAGGATCACTGCAAGTTCGAGACCAACCTGAGCTACCTAGTGAGTTCCAGGGCAGTCTCGACTACATAGTGAGACCCTGTCTCAAAACAACAACAAAATTGTATTTCCGGGACTCAGCTGAAATTACCCAAGGTGACCCACCACTAAAAGGCCATAAAATTGTTGCAGTTAAGAAAGGAGCAAGTTGAGAGACTCCAGAGAAAGTTTCAATCGCCTATTCAAAACAAACCTCTGCCATTCCTATGGGATGGGCTAGTACCCTTCTTGGGAGGCACCAGTTTTTCCTGGTCTTTCCATCCCAAGTATAAACTTTTTGGGTTGAGGACTTAGGTTAGAGGTGCCGCAGGCTGCCTTGCAAGTGCAAGTTCCTGAGTTCGATCCCTGCTACGGAAAAAAAAAAAAAGTATAAAACTTTTCACAGTTCCAAACTAATGTGCACCCACTCTTGTGTGTCCTAGATCTCTAAACACCTCTTAGTGACACATCCGTGATGTAAATCAACCTGCCTGCCACAAGAGGGTGGTTTAAGTTCCTTATTTCAGCTTTGGGGATCTGGGCCCCAACCTGGTGATAACAGGAGACTGCACTTCCCAGGGTCCCAGCAAGGTGGGGCCCATGTGCCCTGAAGCCAGTGCATCACGCTCTAGGGCCCCAGACAGCCAGGGATGTAGATGTTTGTGTGAGGCTTCTGGAGACCAAGACTGCAAACTTCTTTTGGGGCTGCTGGCCTCGCTGCCTAAGAGAATCCAACTCCTGACTCACTAGTTCCTGGCACAAGGGAGCCAGGTGATGGGTGCTGTAATTCAGCACTCTGGGAGGCTCAGGCCAGCGGGTTGCAAGTTCAAGCCCAGCTCAGGGAATTTAGTGACAGCAAGACCCTGCCTCAAAATAAATGTAAAAGCTGGGGATTTAGCTCAGTGGCACTGTGTCTGCCTTGCAAGCATAAGGTCCTGAGTTCGATCTCCGGTACCAGAAAAAAAAGTAAAAGCCGTGGGGCATGTAGCTCAGTGTGAAGGCCTTGGGTTCAATCCCCAGAACTTCAAAAGAAGAAAAACAGGGCTGGGGATTTGGCTCAGTGGCACCTGTGCCTGCCTCACAAGAGCAAGGTCCTGAGTTCGATCCCTGGTACCAAAAAAGAAACCAGACCAGGGGCTAGCTCAACACATCCATGAGGGCTTGCGTTTCCTGGATTTCCTGTGACTGCTGAAACAAAATGCCACACACTGGGGCTGGGGATTTAGCTCAGTGGTGCCACCACCTGCCTCACAAGTGCAAGGTCCAGAGTTTGCTCCCGAGTACCAAGAAACAAAGCAAAACAAAACAACCACACACTGGGGAATTAAACAGCAATTTCTTGTCCCACAGTTCTGGGGTCCAGGGATCTGAGGTGAAGGTGTGGCAGGCTGGGTTCCTTCTAAGGCTGTGCAGGAATCCATCCCTGGCCCCGGGCCCAAGGCCTAGCAGCCCCAGCAGTCCTTGGCACTCCTGGGCTGGCGGCCTTGGCCTCTTATCATCTCAAGGCCGCCTCCCTGTGTGTTCCCTCCTCTCTTTGTATGAGGGCTCCTGTGTCAAGTAGGAACAAAAGCGGGCGATTGTCTGAGCCCCTGCAACAGGCTTTGTTCAGTGATGACTGGCAGTGGAGAAAGAGCTGAGCTCTGTAACCACCTGCAGAGGTGACCAGTGTGGGGGGGAAGTGTCCCAGAGAGACCAGGGGCTGCAGTGTGGCTCAGAGGTGGAGAGTGCATTTAGCATGGGTAGGCTCTGGGGTTCTGTTACTTTATTGGTGCTGGGACAACTTAAAGGTGGAGGGGTTGTTTGGCGCATGGCTTCAGAGGGTTCAGTCCATGGTCGGCTGCTCCAAGGCAGGAACAGTGTGGT